TCCAGGGCCAGAAAAGGAGAAAATGTTCTCATCTTTCTGATGTACCTCATATCACTTTGCAGCTACAAGCCTAAATACTTTATTACCAGAGGTTTTTTAATGTCTAATTAAAGCTCAATCTTCTAAGCATTTTGACTTTTCTTGTAAGTGTTCAAATAAGACCGTGTGGTATTTTGAGATGGAAATTGATTTCCGTGGCAGTGTCCACACACAACTGAGTGGCACTGTCATAATGCATACTTCATCTGGAACTGTGAGCTATGTGGGATGTTTTCATGAATAAAAAGCATCTTGTGTGGGCTGGGGTTATAACTCAGTTTGCTTAGCATGAGGTCCTAGGTTCATTCCCCAGCACAAAAAAAAAAAAAAAAGATTAAAAAAAGAAATCTTGCATTTTATATGGTCACAGTGTATATTTTATGAAAGCTTCACATTTTTTTTATTTTGATTTTTTTCAACTTCACTGTCTCATCAGTCTCCCAAGAATATTGCCACTCTGATTTTGGTCAACTCAGGTGCTCATCAAAGGGGTAGGGAGTGGATGCCAATTGCAATACAAATTCAGTTCATGAAGCAAGCTGTTTTCTTACGAGAATCAGCATCAGCTGTCTTTGCTGATTTATTTTCTGACTAATTCTGCTAATATTATTATTTGCTTCACACTTCGCTTTCTTACACACTGTGTCCCAGAAGAGGAGGGAAAAAAAAAAAACATAATCATTGAGCAGCCAGAAAGTTGTACTCAGGCAATCAGAAAAGAAATATTATGAGATGGACATCTTACCTGTCTTTGATATGGGTAATGATTTCCACCCAGGAGCACTGATCTCTTCTTTTTTTAAACTCTTAAAGATCTTGATGTAGGTAGCACACAATTTAGTGATGGCGTCTAAGCTCCCTCTTTTTCCCCCAAGATAATTTGTTCTTAAGGCACTATGTCAGAGATAGAAGACTGGTCTAGTCCTTTTGCCTTTTACTTCCCCAAATGCATTATGCTCTCAAAAGTTATGGAGGAGCGCTTCCTTTCATAGTTAGATTGCTGAGGGCAGGGGGTGGTTAATACAATAGGCCACCTATACTCATGGCCTATTCAACTTTCAGAAACCCCAAATCAATTTAAATAGACCAAAATTTAATACCTGATGATAGACTTTATTGTTTTGTAAGCTTCCAGGAAGGGAAATAACTCTTGTTGTCTCGGTGAAGTTGCAAATAATTCAAGACTGGAGAAAGTAAAGGCCAGAGCCAGCTGGACGTGCATGTCCCATAAATGTTGGTTGACTTGAGCCAGTTCCAAAATTCTAACAGATTCAATCACATTGCTCAGTGTCTTGGATCGTAACCTATTAGTGGCCTATGGTCTTCTTTTTTATTCCTATTGATCACTTCAAATGTTTATGATTCTAGCCCACGGTTTCCTCCCTTCCCTCTCCCCACCACCTCCTTCACCATGTTGAATGGGTATTAGAGTAGAAAATACTGTGCTTTGGCCTGGCACCATGGTGGTGCACGCCTGTAATCCCGGCCTCACAGGAGGCTGAGACAGAAGGATCCTGAGTTCAAATCCAGCTTCAGCAATGATGAGGTGCTGAGCAACTCAGTGATACCCTGTATCTAAATAAAAAATACAAAATAGGGCTGGGGATGTGGCTCTGTGGTTGAGTGCCCCTAAGTTTAATCACTGGTACCCATCATCCCCGTCAAAAAAGAAGAAAGAAAAGAAAAAACTGTGCTTTGAAAAATAAGATACTTTACCAAAGAGTTTCTGATATCATAATATTAGAGCTATAATTAAATAATAGATAATTGAAGCTGGGAAAAGTGGTGAATGCCTGTAATCCCAACCTCTCAGGAGGCTGAGACAGGAGAATTGCAAGTTCAAAGCCAGCCTCAGCAAAACTGAAGCGCTAAGCAACTCAATGAGACATTGTCTCTAAATAAAAAAAATACAAAATAGGGCTGGGGATGTGGCTCAGTAATTGAGTGCCCCTGAGTTCAGTCCCTGGTACCAAAAAAGAAAAAAAAAAAAAGATAATTGACAAAACTGTGGGAATCAAAATACCTAGACCCATGTTCAGAGTTACCAAGATGCCAGTAGTTTCAGTGAGGAGAGAAAAGCAAGCCAAAAGAAAATCGGGAAGGTAGGGATCTGGATCAAGTCCATGACCAATTTAAAATAAGCAAGACTGCCTTCGGAGATACTGAAATCTTTAACATCACATTGAAAATATTTTCAGAATGTTTCAGAACACAATGCAACGTAAATGAAATTCTGATTTTAAGTGGAATTAAACAGTAGGAATACATTGCACAGTGAAGGTTGCCAGACTGTAGGATTTGTGGAGCAGGAAAATTAAATAGAATAAATAATTGGAGGATTACTCAGAGTTGCCAGCTCCTTACTTTTGCCACAGCCTGCTACCTCTGTCCTCTAAGATTCTATGGGTAATGAGGTTCCCATGTTAGACCTGAGCCAGAAAACGGTTTGTTTAAGCAAAGGATGAGAAAACACTTCAAAAGACACACAAAGAAAAATTTATTGTCGCCATGTGGATGTTACTGGTTGACTTTCTCATGTATAAGATCCCAGCTCTTCTCAGCCCTAGGTCCCCTGGGTTGACCTCCACCAAGTGACCCAGAGCCAGCATGGATGTGAAGCTATGTTCTGGACTGCTACCTCCAGAACCATTATTTCCTTGACAGTGTTAGTTTGTTCTTGCTTTTCTTACAGGGATGCAAGAAAATATTAACCCATGATCTGGTTCCTGGGACATTTTATGTTTTCATGTTGTTGTGCCACATTCTTTTTAAATTGTCTTCTACTTTCAAAAGTGTGATCTCAAGT